AAACAAAAAAATAATAATCTGATTTTTAAAGTACCTTTAAAAATAGCAAATAAATTCTAAAAAAATGTAAAACTTTAGAAAATAATTGTAAACATGTAAATGAACATGTTACAAAAATAATTTTTAGAATTTCACTTGACATTTGTGAAAACTTGTCATTTTACAAAAATAGTCCAAAACATAAAAATACAAAACACATGTTTTTATCATTTTGACTTAAACAAACTTTTTAAACTTTATAAAATGATTTTATAGACTTAATCATGATTGTTAAGTCCATAAAGAAATAACTTAATATTTTCACAAATTTATTTTTGTATAAACTTGAAAATCAAAACATATATATATATATTATACTAAATATACCCAAGCTTGATGAAGGTCTTCAATGAGCATGACTTGGTAAACTTGTGGATGAAGCTTGAACTTAAAACTTTAACTTGAATGTATTGGCTTCACTCCACTATTTCGCCAACCTCCATTAGATATGATCGTTGAAGCGTAATTCCATCCAACCTCCGACTTATTGTTTATCTATAATAAATACAAAAACATAAACACTAGACAAACACCATTAGTAGTAAACTGTTTGTTAAACATCATCAAAATAAAAAGGCCAACACATTAAAGGTCCGACCGAATATACGACCCGTTGACGTACAAAATGAGTTTTTATGTTCATATGGGATTAGGGTCTATTATAGTAAGATATGATGGGGTAAAGAAAGAGCACAAAAGTAATTATATGGTGATGCCCATGAGTCCTACGATCAATTACGATAGTAAAAAGAAGATAATATCTATAATATACAAACTAATTTTATTTATGTGACGCTAGTTATACTAATTTTCTTAATGTTGATCCTAACACTTAATCTTTAATTTTCCAGATATGTAGAAGAGGTTAAGAAAACAAACTCATGTGGCTACATTCATGTTGAACAACATGAGGGGAGGTTTACAAGGCTATTCATCTGCTACGCTGCCTGCATAAATGGATTTTTGCATGGGTGTAGACCGCTTATATTTTTGGATGGTACATTTCTGAAAGATCGATTCAAATGTATACTCCTCAGCGCCGTAGCATATGATGAAAATCAGGGGATATTTCCATTAGCCTATTTCATATGCGATCAAGAAAATAACGTTAACTAGAAGTGGTTCTTATAAGGTTAGTTAGTTCTATTGCAGTTCGTGATAGTTCTAACGCATTCCTTGTTAACTCTAACTTCGTATATGTTAACTACAACTCTTTATAGGTTTGTGATCTATTCTATATGAAAGGCTAGATCCATACAACCCTCCACACAAGCTAGTTACAATATCAGATGCGAACAAGGGGATCAGAGAAGCGGTTAGAGAATATTTCCCAGATGTTATACACTCTCGATGTGTTCTGCATCTAGTTTAGAACTTCAAGACAAAGTTGAAAGATTTGGGATTCAAGTTAAAGGACATGATGGAAAATGTGTTATTATCTCTATCGTAATAGCTCAGTAGCAGTTCAAGTGTGGGGCGATCAAGCGCAGGAGCCCCAAATAATATATATTGTTCAAATATAGCTCCGCAGAATGCATCTCTATGCCATTGACGAATCTTCGGGGTAATACACTTCATAAATTTCTAATAAGCCCCGATATTGGCGGTTAGCCTTAATGATCTGCCCGCGTCAGTATCAGAAATTTTTTTCCTGTAAAAAAATGGAATTTGCATGTTCAATTAGACCTAACGTGGCAAAAATTAGACCTAACACTGACGGGCATCTAGAACTAACATGAACTCAAACTAGAGTTAAAATGGACTATGGTTAAAACCTAGCATTGTTTAAGATGAACTAAAATTAGGAAAAATTAGGCCGAGTCCCCAAATACTGGATAACATAACACTTACTGCTTTTTTGGGGAGGGTTCGTTGGTACGGCCAGTCCTTGCCGTTCTTCTTTTCTGGTCTCGCCGTTCTTAAGGGTTTGAGTGACTTCCTCTGCGCTACCAACCCCTAATGAACCGTCTTTGTCCTTTGGCTCGTGGCAATAAACGACTTCGTAGTTGTTAACGGATTCTGCTTCCCTAGACGATATTCTTCTGGCGAAAACCCAAGCACTGTTGAAATGCGACGAGAAATTTGAAAGTTCGAGAGTTTCGGTGGCTCCTCAGCGGTGGAAGAGAGGGGGGAGATGAAGAGAGTACTTGGGTAGGGAGGGGACGCAGTAACTTAGTTCAGTCCCATCAAAAGGACAAGTTCGTAACTTCCACTGGTTTTTTTTTTTGAAAACCGATACTTTGGGGTCTCATCATAAATACCGTGTGTATTTGGGGCTTATCCACATGGAGCAGAATACAAGGAGCCTCGTCACATGAAGTTTTCGCTTTTAGGGTATCGACACATTTTCCCTAAAAACAAGATATTAAAGACTGTTTCTAAATATTGGAGACTTAAGGGACTGGTATTGAAAAATTGCCTATTGTTCTAAGGTCAATTTCGGAGAAAATCATGAACTTAAGGGGTTCCGCACGAAACCCTCTTGAACTTTATATATCAAATAAACTTTTCCTGAATGTTCGAAAATTTTATCGTCGTGCCATCAAACTGGTACAGTGGTACGGTGAACAAGTAATTGTCGTGTCTTGTTACCCCGCATAATGCTCTTCATTCAAAATTTCCATCAAAAGTTGTGATTTGTCACAATCTAAACTTATCATTTTACTCGATGATTGACGTGAGATATTTTAATAGTCTAGTTAGGTTGAAGGGAATTTTGAAAGTTCGCGAGGATTGTTGTGTTTACTTAGTTCAGGAAATGTTGTGCATAATCTCCCAAAACTCAGGGAGTTTTGTGAAATTTTGTTTTTCTCACTTGCTGTCACTGAATCCTACAAGTCACAATTTATTGTTATCATGCAGAACAATTTATAACACGAGAACCCACCCTCTTCATTGCTCCCATGGTGCTATACACTGCTACATCATAAAGGAATAAATATTGAGGAGAAAGACAGTGAGGTTGACCACTGAGAAATTCAGTTGTCTGAGAGCAGGAAAATAATGAGCACAACTGGGTGAGATTTGGAATTTATCCCCAATCTTGTGAACTGGCTCAGGTCAGCTTCAAGTATTGTTTTTTTTTTTAATTTGATTTGGACGGGTGCTTTGACTATACGATGGCCGGGGGCCAAGCAATTTTTGATTCTAAGCGCCATGTTCTGATTCTTTTGATTTGACGTCACCAAAAACTTTCAGGCAGCTTAATTTGCGGGAGTTTTTTGAGTTGCGAGCAAGAACACTGAATAAAGCTGTACCCCAATTGGGCCTGGGCTTTCTGTAAAAATGGACCCAATTGAAGACAGTTTATGTCCACGGGGACAGTTCCAACTTCAATAAGGCCTTCACAGTAATGTCGAGGAAAGTTAATGTTTGGGCCGGAGATTGGACCTGTTGAATACGTTTTGTTCAAAGATAAAAACATATTACCTTATGCATTGCTTGCATTGTGTTTTAATTTTATTAATCTCATTTGTTAGATATTTACGGATACTTGCATGTCCATTTTCTATGTACATGTAAATGTAAATGTTTCAAGATGCATGATGTGATGGTCTTTACAAAATAATTGATCTCTCAAGGTTCAATCGGTAAGACGTGAGAGCAAGAAACGAATGTCTAAGAAAATACTTATAAAATTAGACACGGACCTTCTGTGGAACATGAAAACGGACCTAGAAATCCAAGCCCATATATTCATCTCCTAACCCGATCCTTTGGACCCATCATTTTCCTAAAGTAATAAGGTAGCTTAGATAGGTACACCAATCAGAACTAAAAGATCTATGTTCAGACGAAAACCCTTTCGTCACGCTCCCCTCTGTTTCCACCTGCCCACTAACAAACCCTATCCCCCACAATTTATTATACATGCTAATCGTACGTACCAATCCCCATAATCAACACATAATTGAGTAAGGTGGAGAATATGCTTGGTTGGTGGGTAGCTAACACGACGAGCATTCCAACTATTAGATTCTACATGCCCGCAAGTGGTCTAACGGTTGGGATTTAGAGCCCTGGGTTCGAACGACTAAATTCGATCCGTGTCTGTTTATGACATGTCTATCATCAATTTCAAATTATTAGGCATTGCCACGTTTATGCTATTTACCTGAATTTATATTGTGAAATGAGGTCCAAGACGCGGAAATTGGCTAGGGCTAAACCAAGATAACTCGCAAGGAAAAAACTATTAGATTCTAGTTTATTAACACATTTAGACCATAATTGATAAATTTTATGTCTTCCACGTCAAAATACGCTTGTCACCGTTTATTTTAATAAAAGATTTCTTTACTACGTAAAAATCACAAAACGAAATTGGAAATTATGATAATGATTAAGCGCTATAAATTTATATTCTGCTATGTGTCTGCGTGTCCCTTCTTTTTAATTGGCTAAAATCTGAACTTAAAACGCTTCTGCCTTAAACATGTGACCAGTGGAATCAACTTAGATTGCTTTGATACCGCGTTAGATATTTCTACAAGTTATAACGATAGTTTTAGTCTTATAATTTTATATCGCAATGTATTCCGATTTGTCTCATTAGTCGATCGTCATTACCCATAAGTAACCAAACCCCACTAATCATCCCCCAAGCATGATCCCTCCCTCCCCTTCTCCCTCTCCTTCCCCGTCTCCACCACCCATCCAGTTCACCTCCAACCTCCACACCCAAACCGGCCACCTACCACCCCATTCCGACCAACGACCGCCGCGGTACCTCCTTACCATTTCAACTCTCTCCTCACTCTTCTCTCTTCTCCCTACATCAAAAACATCACAAAACCAAAAACACCCAAAACAATCCACTCTTAGTCGACAAGACCCCCGGAAGACCCCGCCACGTTCCCCACGATCCAGCCATTCCTACACACCACGCACAAACTCACAACCCCAAAAATAACTAATCCGTCGACTCGCCACGCGACAGCTTCCACCCCTGCCCTGTCCCAATGGCCGATGGCTGCACTACGCGCAACCGAATGTACAAAGCCACCTCCACCTCCGGCGATGTCTTCGCCGTCAAAAGAATCCACTCTCATCTAATCCTCAACAACAACGCCGGTCTAGATTTCATATCAAAGATCAAATCTCTCTCCTTTATAAACCACCCTAACGTCGTTCCTATAATAGGCTACTCTCAAGCCCCCGGAGAGAGAATCATCATAAGCGAGTTTGTTGATGGAAGAAGCTTAGACTATTTTCTTGATGGGTATGAGATTCTGGATTGGAGAACTAGGGTTAGGATCGCTGCGGGGATTGCGAGGGGATTAGAGAGTCTTCACGAGGGAGGGATCGTGCATGGGAGAATCAAGCCTAGTAACATTTTGATTAGTTCGAACTTTGCTGTTAAAGTTTGCGATTATGGGCTTTGGTTTTTGGGCCGAGATGGGCTTATGGGCTATTTGGATGGAGAGGGGGGAGGGGAGGGGAGTAAAGGGAGTGATGTGTACGGGCTTGGGGTTGTCTTGCTTGAGATTTTGAGCGGGAGGAGGAGTGAAGGGGGGTTGATTGCGGATTGGGCCTTGCCTTTGATTAAAACGGGCCGGATTCAGGAGTTTTTAGATAGGAGCATTGACCCGGGTAAGGATTTGGGGGTTTCGGTTCGAATGGCGAAGGTGGCTTCCGCGTGCGTCGGTAATGGGAGGAGGAGTCGGCCTGCGATCGGGCAGGTTGCTGCGATTTTGAGCAGCTTGGAGATGATTTGAGAGTTTGGATTCTTTTTTGGGCTGGTATTGTATTTATAATTTATCTCATAATTTTAGCAAAATTCAGTATTTACCTAATAAGTAATAAGTCATAATAACGGAGATTTTTTCATTGTACGCGGGTTGGTTGGTTAATGATGCAATGTTTTTTTGTAAATTGTGATATAACATTGTGGTAACTGTTTGATTGCAAATAGTGTTATTATAAATGTATTTTGTGTTGGGAAGTAAACAAGTCTGACCGGGAGTTCATGGACCTTAAATAAGGGTCATGAACCAATTTTAATCTAAAAAATATAGATTCTAGGTATTGAACTCAACTTGTATTTTAAACTAATCATTCTTTTTATCTCATTCAACAGTGACGGATCCAGAAAATTTTCCTTAGGGGACGGACAATGTGTGCTTATTTATCTAAAAGTAAAAAATAATAATATTATAAAATTGTAGCATCCGGTGTGAATGATGTGAATTACTCAGTGCACTTTATTGTTAGAAATGTAAATAGGCTTTTAGTTTTCAATGAGCTAATTCAAAATTTTACTAATATCTTTAAAAAAATTTAGATATCTTGGAATTTAGGGTGCAATTTTTAAAATTTATGGCCTGAAGATGCAAAAATTACATGACTTTATAGTGCTTGATCTGTCTTGCTATTTAATACAAGATTGTACTCACATATTAATATTTAATACAAGATTATACTCACATATTAATAATTTTAACATTTTGTGTTTGATGAGGTGGAAAATACGGTAAACATGATTGAAATGTATATTTATTATAAAAAAAGAGGATGTCACCCATTTATAATTCCTCAATCATCTCAATGTTCCCACATCGAGAGTCTTCAAATTTTATTGTTGCTGATGCGTTTTCAGCGATTCCAGTTTCCAAACAGAAATTAACTAGCTCGAGAAGTGCGATAGAGAATGGATCTTTAACGTTGCAGCCCACAGGCCCATATCACAATGAGTCTAATGCCATTTTTATAGAGGGTTTTTCATATAAACCACTTTTAAATGAGGTGATTCTATGCAAACCATATTTGATTTTCATTTTATATATATACCATCTTTAAAGTAATTTTTATTACAATCAACCACATGAGTCTGTTTTTAGTTATTTTTTGGGTAATTGATCTCATCTAACCTCCATTAAAGATCATCTCTTTAATATACTTTAATATTAGACAACTAACTATTACAGAAAAATAAAAAATACTTGACATAAAAGTGAAAATAGGTTGTTGATTGCAACAAAAAATACATTAGAGGTGGTTTATGTATAAATTGAAACTTAAACACGGTTCCTATAGAATTTCCCAATTCAAAGTGGTTTCTATGAGAAAAACCTCATTTATTGAGTGCAGGTTTATATGCTACCATAGCACAATGAATATTAACAATTAGGGTCTTTTTTCCTTCCTAGAAACCACCTTAAATTAGGATCATTACACACAAACAACCTTTCATTTTGATTTTTAATTTATATGCAAATCATATTTAAAGTGATTTTTTATTCCAATCAACCACCACTCGGTACAAGTTTCCACTAAAAATCAAAAAAAAATATACTTAAAAAAGTCACATTCAAAATTCGTGACTCATTTTATTAATGAAAAATTACTTCAATGGCCCAAATCTGAAAAAATCATGTGCACTAGCCACCTATACTTTTGTCCATGTGTATAAACCTAAAATACATTATAAAATTTCGTTTTAGCCCCGCCAACTCAGCAACTTCAGAGAATTTTTTAAAAATCCTATTGTACCCCTAACCGGTTACCACTACAGTGCCCCCGATTTTGGTAACCACGCTCGTCCACTCTCTAACTCAAATCAAGTCTATCTCTCTCTCCTCTCTCCCTCCCGCACACACACACACACGCACACACTCTCTCTCTCTCTCTCTCTCTCTCTCTCCGTTCCTTATCCTCTCATCTCTTCTCAGACATACTTTGTTGTTCGCAATTTGAGCGATTATCCCAGGTCACAGTCAGGTCTCCCCTTTCTCTCTTCTCTCTCCTCTATATATATAATATATAAATATATTATAATATATATATATATATATAATATATATATATATGTATATATAATATTATATATATGGAGATTAATGGGTATCCTTGTCATGAGGAGGGGATTTCCTCCTAATGATGCCCCTCTAAAAATCACAATATTGGCAGGCGACAGTCCATGTTTATTGTTGAGATCGGATAACCGCTCTGTTGGAACTTGATCTAACATATTCTAAAAACCCCACACACCAAGTTTGGGGTGAACTGCCGGGTCATGCGTTTGACGCGCTTCAATCCACAATCGTATCAATTTTTAACGGTTTTGAATGAAATAGATACTTTTTACATGGCTCGATGGAGGTCAACGAGCGAACGGATTCACCCCAGAACTTGTTGTTGAAGTTTTAGATATTAGATCAAGTTCATGTAGGCGGATCATCCATAATGTCCGTTCATCATGTGATTTTAGAGGCGTCATAAGGGGAATCCGCTCCCTATGACAAGGATACCGATTAATCCTATATAATAGTATATATATATATTATAATATAGTATATATAATATATATATTTATATAATATATATATATATAGTATATATATATATATATATATATATAATTATATATATTATATATAAGTCATATATATATATCACAGTATATCTAAATGATATATATAATATATATATATTATATATATATATATATTTATATATATATATATATATTATATCTGGTTTACCAGGTAGACCGGGGACGAAATCCCCAAATCTTCACTGTAGGGTTTTGTCACAATCGGTAGAAAATGGCCGAAAAATCGATGGCAAACCCAGATTCCCCAACTTCATTAAGAAAAGATGATGAATTTAAAGTTGTTCACCGTCCTCCTCCACCGTTGCAAGAGTAGGAACCTGCACCGACGAACAACGAGCGACAAGACACGTCTTCGACCACCGTTAAAGCCCCCTCACCGTCGTTGGCTGGTAAAAATTCTCCCTCGCCTTCCAAGATTTTTAAAGACCCCATTTGTCTTCTAAGACCGACCATGGACCCTCTGCTCTCTTATCTCCCTCCCCCTCCAAGTCTTCGTCCACCCGTGCACTATCATCAGGGAATGACAACACTGATGAAGCCACCCAAACCCTATTGGGCGGGTTACCAAGAAAAAGGAAAATTCTAAGTTCAAAACAAGAATTAAAGAAATCCAGAAAGAAGTAAGTTGATGTTAAAATTTTCAATTAAGATAGATTGATATTATAAATTAATGTTGGTGCATTACAAACTATATGCCTGGATATATGAAATGTAACATATTAATGTTAGAAATGAATGACTGACTGTTACGTTTTGTTATAACCTACTAACATTTCTTATAAACTGTTAACTCTGGACATTGGTTGATGATATTTGTATCTGATACCTGACTTTACACATTATGTGTTAAGTTTTTGATCGATAACAAGTCTAGTGAATGGTTGTTAAGGTGTATAGCATAACATTATATTTCATTGTTGGTTGTTACTACTGGCTGTTGGATGTTAAATTTAGATAGATTGATGTTAAATGTTAAATTTTGTTACAAGAAAAAGTCTGGTGATGCTGCTAAAATTAGACCTATCGCTAGTTTTAGCGCATATTATGATTTTATAAAAGTACTTGAATCGAGAATGAGGTGGTGTCACTGGGATGCATACCAACGGTGCACATTTGAGCATTATGTAATATTTGGTCCCCCTAGTGTAAGCATCGAAAATTGCCTATAGGTCTCCGTGAGTAGCTCAAAGCTAAGAGGAGATGAGGAACGTCACTATCCAAGTCATAGAATCTTGATTGACATCGATGAATGCTTGAAGTGAATCGACGAACTACGTGAAGTAACGGAATTTCAGAATAACGAAGACACGAACTGATCGGGAGTCCCGCGTCGCTTACAAAAGATGAAACGACGCTCCTGCCCCGGTTTAATCCATAATGACCTAATCATCAGAGCTTATAGAACTCCTCGTAGGCTTTCCAACGCACTTTGAATCACTCAAATCCGAGTTCGGACGAAGAAATTACGGTGGAAACGGACAAGTGCACGGAAAAGAGCGTCTTAGCCTGAGTTGAGACACCCCAAGGTATCTCGGCACAAACGAGACACCCCAAGGTGTCTCGGCCTCGCTGAGACACCCAGGGGTGTCTCCAGGCCTAAAAGCGGGCTTTTGTGCAGTTTCAACCACCCGAACTCCCCCCGAGCCTATAAATACAACCGCAGGCCCTCATTTTTCTGGATCTGGAATTCTCGAGCGTTGGCGAAGCCCTGCCGAATTGAGGAGTGAAGAGCCACGAATTTCAGAGAGGAGGAGGAGACTTCAGCGGATTCTTCGTCATAAAGAAGAGGAGTTCGTCAGATCTGCAGCCCGGTTCGTCCCTTAAGATTACTCTGTTACAGTAATCTTAAGAAGAGCAATTATCTCTCTATTACCGAGATAAGCGCTATGGTTTCTTGATTCCTTCGCGAATCAACGAAGCTCTTCCTAATTTTTCAGCAATCAGATCTGATCGATGGTGGTCCACGGATATCAACATCCCCGTCACAGGCCAAGATCCCACGCAAGCAGCGGGCGATAAACACCCGTTACGTTTGTTTGAAGAGAGTTGTATTTGTTTTATTTTATTTTTATTATGTAAGAAAGTCTTATAAAAAGACTAATTTTACTTTGAATCTGTAATCGATAAACGTGTAATGGATTCAGCAATGAAGAAATCAACTTTCACCGCAAACAAGCTGGCGACCACAGTGGGAGCCAACAGCCTCGCTGCCGAGGCTGTCGTGCCATAGCCAACGATCAAGATCCCGGTGTTCGAAGAGGTCGAATATGAATTCGACTAGCAGAAATTCAAGGAATATATTTCCTCCTCCTCCTCCAGATCTTCCTCTTGCAAACGCAGGAAAACCGCTGCCGTGAAGAACGTGACTTCAGATCAAAAAACCAAGGCTGATGATCTGAACCCGAATGCAGTGGAAGATTCCTCTCCGGCTTCCAAAGAAACCAGATCCAACGTTCGTGACAACTCCTCGAAATTCAAGGAGTTGCCCGTTGAAAGTGCACCAGTGCTGACGAAGAGGGCTTGTCAAAGGCGCCGCCAATATCTCGCACGTTAATTTACCAAGGC